CCCCCCCCCCCCCCCCCCACGCGCCGGCCCTCCCGTCCCCAGGAACCCGGAGCTCCGGCAGTGGCTTCAACCCCGATGGCCCCCACGGCCGTGTGCGACCGTTCCACCTTCACCCCGGCGACGGCGGCGGCTAGGCCCAAGTCTTCGAAGACTTCCTCGCGGTTCGTGTCGCCGTCCCGGATAGCCAGGTTTTTCGGCGGGCGCGAGCTCTGGCGGTGGTCGAGGGGGGGCTCTGTTGCGGGGGTTGAGAGCTTCTCTGACGGCGCCGGCGATGCCGATGCCGACGCCGCAGCGACGAAAGGCGATGCTGGTATCAGTGCTCCGTGCGCTGAGGACGTCGGTGTAGCTTCTTTGATCGCCAGGGGCGATTCTTCCTGGTCTCCAGCTAGGTGGTACACCCCGTCCTCCTCCGCTGCCTCCTCCTCCGCCGCCCTCGGGCGTTCCCCCGCTGCCGCGTTTTCTCCTGCCACCGCTGCCGCCGCTGCTGCGAGGGGCGGCGGCGCTAAGCGGCACCATCACTTGGCGCGACCGCTGTCGAAGAAAGACCCAGAGACCACGCTGCCCTCTTCTCGAGCAGCAGATATCGTGCAGACGCCTCCGATGCCCCCGCTACCGCAGCGGCCAGTACCACGGCAATGGACCAACTCGCATATCCTTCTCGAGAAGCCGGGCGGCGGAGGAGTCGAAGAGTCTCCGGTCGCAAAGGTGGCCGCCGACGGCGACGACAAAGCCGGGGGTGCAGCAACACCGGTGCCCCCTGCTTCCCAAGCCGGTGCAGCAGCAGCGGCGGCGGCGACGGACGCGGTGGGTACGCGTCACGACGCGGAGCGCGATCGGCGGGCGGCTTCTTCTCCCCCCGAAGACCGATCTACGGCGGGGGAGGAGGATGGGACCGGGGGGTGGGAAAGGGCGACCCCTCCTTCCTCCCCTAGTTCCCTACAAGAGGTCGTGAAATCGCGGCTGAACTCGTCGTTCAACACCACGGCGTCGTCTCTCGGATCGGAGTCCTCAGACTACTACACGCGGCTCCGTTCGTTCGCGTCCCTCCTAGTCGGTTGCGGCGGTGGCTCGGACAAGAGCGTGAGCGAGACCCCGTCGCTGGTGTCGGTACCTTTGGCGGTTCCGGTTCCGGCCGGGGGAGAGTGCCCCAGCGGGCCTCCGCCGCAAGACAAACCCAAGCCATCCTCGGTCGATGTCCCATTGGCCTTCTTTGACGCAACGCCGTCAGAAGCGAAGAGGGAGGAGGAAGCCGTGGAACAGACCGCTCAGGACCGATCGCCGTCTCGTGGAAGCGCTCGGGAGGCCGGGCGAGCGAGCGCAACTGGCCACGGCCACAGCAAGACCTGCGGCGGCGGCGGTGGTGGCGGCGGAGGAGAACAGGAGAGCAGCGGAGCACCCTCGGCTGTACCCAACGACCGGGCGACCTCCCCGACGCAGGCGTCGTCTTTGCGGGGCACCACCCCGCTAACGAGCCCGGTAAGGGTGCCGCCAACGCTGTGGTCGTCTCCCTCGGCGTCTTCGAGGAGGGAGGACAATGCGGCGGCGGGATCGTATCCATCCCCGTTCGAGAATGCCGGGTGTAGAAGACGGGGCGAGGAGGCGGCTCAAGAGGGGGCGAGAGTGAGCGCGGAGGGGGCAGCGCTGATGACTGCGCCGTCGTTCTCATCGGCGGCCTCCGAGGAATCACGGCTTAGCTCGCAGCCGCCGGAAACAAGCGGTGAGCGGTGTCCGGCGGCAGCGTTCGGCGAGGGCACGGCGGCGGCGCTGGTGTTGTGGCCTTCGAGTTCGTCGTCATCGGCGTCTGGGACGTCCCGGCAGCTATTTGCCGGTACCACGGTGGGGGATTCCGGTCTTGTCGTCGTCGGGGAGACAGTTGCGCCGTCTTCTCCGGCGGCGGCCATGGCAATGGTCGCTGTGGAGGATTCCCCCTTGATGCGGGAGGAGCAGCAGTGGCAACGGCAGCCGGGGCCCTTGTCCCCCCGCCTACTAGGTGAGCAGCAGCAGCAGCAGCAGCAACGGAAGGAGAGGCATCGGCGGCAACAGTCCTTCCTGGCTTCGCTCGATCGCCGTGACGGCAAGGGCAGCACCCCTTCTCCCGTGAAGGACAGCAGTTGGCACCACCAGGGTCAACGTGAGCATCAAGGCCCGCTGCCCTCAAGACCGCGCGGTGAAGGAGAGCCCGCCACTACCCCCACGAAAAGCGGCGGAACCCCCGAACGGGAGTTAGGCCCCTCCGGCGGTGTAGCGATGCCCTTTTCGTCGTCTCCCGACCCACCGGGCAGGGTAGAGCTAGGGTCATCGTGCGGCAACTCGTCGTTGAACAACTCGACGAACGCGTCGTCGATTCTGTCGGGGTCTTCTGAGTATTACACCCGGCTCCGCTCTTTCGCGGCCTTGGCGGGCGGCGGCGGCGGTGGGGATCCGGATTCACACCTTGACGGGTCGACTCGATCGTCGACAACGGCGGGGTCTGCGGTGCCGCAATCGTCACCGCTGCGGCCGTTCGGGTGCAATGAGACCCGCTCCCGCGCCGCCTCTTCTCCGGCTTCCGGTTCGTCGTCGGACACCGCGCAGCCCCGTGGAAGCACTAGCTCGCACGCGCTGCTTCCGCCCGGCCCGAACGAGTCCATGTCGATGCCGTCGTCCCTGTCTTCGACACCGCCACCACCGTGTCGTCCCTTTGATGCGGAGGCGGGCAGCGAGACCGGGTCGTCGTTGTCGTTGTCGTTGTCGCAGGCGCTGGCGCCGGCGCCTTACGAGACACAGCTGACAGCGGAACCTCTGGGGATGGTCGGGACCACGATGACGCCGAAGCAGCGGACGGCACTAGAGAGCAACATCCTGTCGTTTCTCGGGGTACGTAGCGGCGGCGACGGCGGCGGCGGACTGTTCAGGGGGGAGCCGTTTTTCGAAGACGACGACGTTCTTTCTCGGCGTCTGGGAGGTGAAGAGCGGCAACGGGACGGTGCCGGAACCGGTGCTGCTGCTGCTGCTCGGGCACGGGCGGGTTTTGATGCCGAAGAGGAGCCGCCCTTGTCTCCCGTTCACGCCAACTGTTCGCGAAGTCCGTTCAGTCGATAGGGGGAGGATAGTCAGGGGCGGGGACAGTCGTCGCCGGAAGCGGCGGCGTTACGTGTGTATAGCACGTGTGAGCACAAATGACACGGGGCAAGACTCCGGCCGGGGGTATCTGAATCGGTGATGTTTAGCGGGCGGCGGGTGGCGATGGGAGCTTTGTAGAGGGTGTCATTTTGTCTCCTCTCGCTATGCATACCATTGATAAGAGCCGTTTGCCACGCGTTCCGTTTCAAGAATGCCGCCGTCGACTTGAGTCTTGCTGCACGAGGCGCAGAGACCGCCATGTACCGTACAACTCATGTATTTCGTGCTGTGCCTATGTAAGTAGAGGGGTATTGCACCTGTGTAATACGTGTGACACCCGGTTTTTTGTTTTTTGTTGTATGCGCTGCTTCTTGCTTGCGAATAGTCATTGAATATTTAGTTGAGGGTCGCCCCGGTGGTCTAGTTGGTTGGTATCCTCGAAACCTTCTTGAGGTCAGGTCAGGGGTTCGAATCCCGGCGTAAGCGAGCTGTTCTTGCAAAGTGAGTTTTTCTCTCGCTTACTCTCCTGGCCTAGTGGATAGCGCTAGTTCGTGTGTACACAGAGAGAAGAGAGTGCTGAACTCTTCTCGCATTAACAATCGAAGTCAAAGTACCGCAGGAGGGGAGGGTAGAGAGGGGCTCTTCTGTGTGACCAGTTCGTGTGTACACAGAGGAAAGAGAGTGCTGACCTCTGCTCGCTGTAAAAATCGAAGTCAAGTGCCGCAGGAGGGGAGGGTAGAGAGAGGCGCTTCTGTGTGACCACGGGCTAGAGTAAACGGCATCAGTGCTGTGAGCGCTGATGTGAAGTGAAGACCAAAAAACACATTAGAGGCACCTGCCATTGGTTGTTTTGTTTTTGTTCTGATGTTCCGATCTCCGAAGAACTCAGACAGACCAGTGTTGATTTCCGTTTGGCCGATGGGACCTCCTGTTCAGTCGAGCGAAACCTCGCTGGTCCACTGCCCCCCCCGTCTCCAAAACGCCTTGCGTGGTGCCAATGCGCCTCGATATGAGTCACAGCCGTTGCGACAAGTACCATGGGGTGCTTGCGCTGCTGTGTATCGTTGCTTCGCGCATGTTTTTGCTGCCGGTTACACACGCAATCTCTTTGGACCTTCGGGCGCACACAAATCTCACCCTGAGGATGGGCTTCCATCCCTTCACCCGAACCACGGGTAATTGCGCAACCTCAATTTTTTCTTATCGTTTCCCGAAACCTACCTGGAGATATGCATAGGGTGGTTGATGGTGTTTGTGGCAAGGTTGGATAAAGTCGATGTTGCGCGGAGATCCCTTTCGCAGACATATCCGCCACATGTCTACTCTCAGGCTGCAGTCTAGACTAAGCTCTTGGTATTTTATAACGTATTGCCGACATAAAAAGAACGTGCAGACAACAGACCAGGCCACGCAAGAAAGCAGCCGGTTTTGCCTTCCACAGCAAGTCTGCGTGGGTGTAAGGTGTACTAGAGCAGTTGTAGGATACCAAGCCGTATTTTAGTAAGACTACTCAACAGCTACACCTTACTACTATTTACATAATGAACCCACAAGACATGGACTTTCGAAAAACGATCACTGCTGTTGTATAATAGTCTAGACTAGTTACTCTGTATCGCAGGAGTAATGTGAACCTTCCGTCACTTACGGTATAGATCCACCAGGCGTTGTAGCCGGATGTGTCGATCGATGCTACTGCTGTACATGATGTCGCACTCCGTGCGTTGTGCCCTTTGCTCTCTCTCTGCCACGCTCTACCCGCCTCCTTTGACCGGAACTACATGTGTAGATATGCATAGATGAGACGGCCCGCATAGCGTTTGACAGCTACAGCAGTACAGAAGTACCTGGGAACAACTCCCCGCGCATCTAAACTGCTGCTGAAGCGCACATGGTCCGCGCATGCAGCACATACAACTAGGTTTGGGTGTTTGTAGACGAGGTCAATGTACTACATACCGATACGATAGACATACCGATACGCTATATCATATGTGCATAGGTGTCGTAACCTGTGACGAAGCTATGCCTTTCTCCAACCTGAGGACATCAGCAGATAGCTGCGGTCGTCTTGCTTGTTATTGTGTATTTACCTGGTAGCGTTTGAGTTGGGTGGCGTGCTTCATCTTGCTTCTTTTTTTTTTCCATTTTTTTCTTCTTCGAGAATTGAGAGTCTGTCTCTCCCTTCCACCGACGTACACAACGTCGGCCGAAACCGCGAGCACCTCTACATACCCGGTGCGTGTTTTTTGGCGGTCGGCAGGGTAGTGCCCGGTATCTCCCAAAAACCGTTCCATTGCTAGCACTCCACAAGCCAGTAGCAGCACGAGCAAGCTGGCGTATCTCACGAGGCTGGTATCGCTGCGGCGGGGCTCGGGTTCGAAGGCGACCTACAGCGCAGCAGCAGGCGAGTTCTGTCTCTGGTTGGTATCGAGCATTATTCTGCGTGCCTGTTGATGAGAGAGCAACGCATGGGCGAGTAGGGTCGGGGGGTTGTGCTTCGTGGGCGCTTTCGCGTGCCCTCTTGCGCCGGCCCGTGCTGTATTGCACGCTTGCCTGTGGGCACTCGGCCATCATCATCAGTGCGACAGAGCGAATTGTTGGAGAAGGTGGATGTCTTGCCACCCAAAGACTTGCTGTTGTTTGTTGCCTAAAAAGATGCCCCTTTGGTTTCCCCTCTTACGCATTCGGATTGCAACCAACCAACCCATGCCCTGTGTCTCTCTACCGCCTTTGAGGACGACTTTACCTCTTCACGTGCATGGCGATCCTCTGCCTAGGCCAGCAAAGGCGATCGCGCTTCCTGCCTCGTAGCAGGAGGGATGTTCGTGGCACATGACACACATACACACACACACGGACTGACATCTTTTCATTGGTCAGCCGGCTAGCGCGGTCAATGCTAATACTGATAAAAACACACACACAGGCCACTGCGATTGCCATGTTGCACTTTCCCGGGTTGACCTGCTAGGGGGTGCTGTTATTTTTCGCTCCTGGAATCATCCCCGCAGACAAAAGAACGATTTTTCCTGGGACCAAGGGAAAAAGCACCGCTGCTGCGCTGTCTCGTTTCGGCTGCACAGCTGCGAAGCGCTGAGTACGCGATGCTTTTTCACTCTCTGCCACAGCAGCGTCAAACACGAAGCGATGCGCTTTTCCTTGGAATCGAGGAATCACAATCTCCGTGAGAGAGAAGACATCCTAAATTTCCAGTTCCCACAGCGGCCAACGGCTGTAAATATATTCCTATTTGTCTGCGAGTGTTTGTTACTTGCTGACTATCTCTTTGCCTTTGGGTTCGTGCCACTGATTTTTTTCGGTTCTCGGGCAGAAGTTGTTACCAACCCGTTCTCTCCCCAGCCTTCGACCACACATGGCGTTTGTCAAGAGCACCAGCTGCCATAGCCCTCCGCGGCCTTTCCCTCCCTCCCCTACAGATGTGCTGGTTATACGGCAACTACCACCCTGCCCGAGAGGGGTTGTTTTTTGTGTACCCCAGATGTGACACCTTTTGTTTTTTTTTCTCACCTTGTCCTGGGCGCAGGGAGTATGCCGGTGGTCTGCCTCTTTTCGTTGGCGCCCGCTGCTGAGTTTTTCAACGTTGATTATTCCCCTGCCTGTGACACCCCATTTGAACAAATACATAGTTTGTCATTGGGGTAATTGGTACTTTGCTCTGTTTCAAAAAAGCTTCCGCGCTGTGCTGCTGCTGAGCAAGAAAGTCTTTTAAAGAGTCGTGGCAATGCAGAGAGGGCGAGAGGCGAATGTTCAAAGCGCACTAGTGCACACGTTCTACAGTTGGGGGTGGGTGCTATTCAGGCTTATATGCGCGTAAAAATGTGTCCGGTATGTTCGAAACTGGAAAATTTCAGCTCCCTGGAAAAAGAAAACGAATCCGTCTGACGACGCCGTGCATCCAACTACCGGTACTTGATTTTCGACGGCTCTAGTGTTCATTTCCTTTCACCCAGGGATATGTTGGCCCCTGGGTACCCTTCACATTGTACCCTTGATTTTACAATGTTCATTCGGATAAGGGAGCCTAGAAAGAGCAAATAGCCTTCGTTTTTGACACTTTTTTGCACGTTCTTCTCGCTAACATCGGAAGCTATGCGAGTCTGCAAAAAGCGAGCTTGTAATGCACTCCCTTGTGATGCAGAGCTGACAGCACAGAAGGAAGCAGTTCGATCGCGTTCGCCGTTGGGGAGCACTCGTGCACCAAAAGTGACCACTTTCGCCCGAAATCTGGCCAAAGTTCGATCTGATCAGCCCGGACGAGCGGGAAATACCCCGATTTTTTCGCTGAGAAGAGCGACACAACAGCATTCCGCGTGCGCGAGTCAGAGGTTCCGCTGCTGCGACCACCCTACGCGGTGACAGCTAGATATGCTTTGGCTGCTCCCCAGCGAACTGTGCGAATGCTCAACGGGAGCTGGGCGCGTGTGGAGTGTCGCAAAAAAGGAAAGCGATCGCCTGGTTGCTGAAAGTCCGATTTTTGCTCCAACTGAACTGATCTGCTGGCGGTTCCATTTCTTCGACCACATCATCGCATATGGTGCTGCTGGGATACAGGGAGGCGAGAGATAGAAAGCTAGCACCCCCACCCACGCACGATGAACATGCCCGTTCGAGCCCGTGCTCTTTCCATTGCCTAGTATGTTCAGCAGCAGGTGGTGGCGCAAAGATGGTGTACAGCAGACATCGTTCCAAAGATATGCCGGATGGGCCAAAAAAGCCAAAAAAAGAGGCTCACGGTACCATTGCTCCTTTTTTTATCGATCTCGCTTGCTTGACCTATGAGGCCAGGCATCCAACCACAGGGCCAGGGGCCAGTAGATCCTGGCCTCCTTTGTAGGGGCACGGTGGCGGCAAGCAATGTCAAGCAGTGTCTCCTCTGTTTCCCGGCAGCAGCATTTGTGATGGCAGACGACGTTTTCAGTCAGGCTGCAACCGATTCATTTTTTGCCACATCAGCAGCAAGAGCAGCAGCAGCAGCAGCAACAACACAAGTCTTAACCTCCAAGGGCCGAGCAAACTGACTACTTTGCTGGCGTCGCGCTCGTTACGTGTTGGTGGGATTCGTTCGCCACCGTCTGTATCTGTCATTTAGGCATAGAACTTGGTTTCTGTTCCTCTGTCTCGCTGATGTATTCTCGCGGTGCCCGAGGACCGAATCTCGAGATTTGGTTGGCTCAATCATTCTTCTATCGGGAGGATCCGAGACACATGTTGAAAAAATTTCCTTTCTCTTGTTTGGCATTAGCACCTCTAACAGCAGTATTTGGTTGTGGAACTGGTGTGGAACTGATGCCTCCCCTCCGCCTATCTCGGGCTGATGAAAATTGGAAAATTCCTCTTAAAGATAGAAGCAAAACTGCCGGGTATCTAGGGCAGTGCAGGCAGAGCAATCCGCCCACCTGCTG